CAATGTGCATTAATTATTCCACCATAAAAACATACTATTTTTCTTTAAAGCAGTGAAGTCAAAGCCTAAGGGCATTTCTTCACTACAGAGCTAACCTGAGTTCTTACTCAGGCGGTGCCCCTAACAATCCCCTCCTGCCTGCCACTTTTGTCCACCCACAAAAACCTCTGACTGACATTTACTGTTACTTTCAACATGAGCTAGCTGGCCCATTTAGGGCTGTAGGTTAGAGTCCTAAGTGCAGCACTTCACAGCTTCCTCCATGTTTTGTGGCGGAAGCTGAACCCAGACAAGACAGAGGTAATGCTAGCGAGAAGAGGGAAATATGGAGGAGACTTCTCCAATACAACAACCCAATCCATCCAAGGCACTTGATGTCAGATTGTTAAATTATTCTATAGCCTTAGGGTCTTGTAGATTCTGCTCTGCACTTGGACACTGAAATAGTCACAGTGGCAAAAAGAGCTCTCTTCCATCTGTGGCTCACCAGAAGATCTCACCCAATTCTGGCTACAGTTGTTAAGCCCAGCACAGATCACTGCAATTATTTTTTATCTAAAAATGAGAAAACTCTGAGAAAGATCAGATTACCAGTTCACTACTCTCTGCACTGAGAGAATATAGTCCTGTTCAAGGTCACTGAACTAGTTCTAGTTTGAAAAATTGCCTCTCTCTCTGTAGCTATGACCTCTTTTACTGAAACAGTGAAACTGTCAACCAACAGTGGGAGATGCAAGATGTTCACAGAAGCCAGACCAAGACTTTGGAACTTATTGCCAGATGAAATAAGGAAGATCACTAACTTCATCATATTTGGAGCCAAATGAAAACCTCACCTCTTTGCCTAAGCTTTCCCTCAATAGTATCCTCTCACATACCAACACACTCACACTTCTACAGTCAGTAGTAATTAAAACAAGAATCTAACATTGCCTCTTGTCAGCAAGGAAGTGATTATGCTATTGTCATTTATACTCAACACACTCAGATACAATGGTGATAGGTGCCAATATAAGAACCTGGGCAAATAGTGGATCAGGAGCTCAGGGCCACAAAAGGGAAGGATTACTTCACAAGGTACCATATGTACTTATGAACTCCCAACATATCCCATCATAGTTTATGTTAATATTTCTTTAAATGTTGAAAGTGTTTTATGTTGCAAAATCAAAGTCTGTAAAGTGAATTCGTGTGTGTCAATACAAACTATAAAGGTAATGGAGTATTTATAGCAGTTACCTTAATTGGTCATTTCAATAATGTAATATTTTTCCCTTGTAGACTGTAATGTTACAACTATATAGTTTGCGTAAATGGTTTTGAATGAAGGCTATATAGAAATGACTGATGGGCAGTAGGAAATTATACATAGTGGTGTAAGAGTGAAGGAAATAAGAACACTTCTACTCCATTATTTGTGTGTGTGAAAAGTGGGCACTTTGCCCGTTTCCTTATCTGCCTTCAGTTTACAAATGTACACTTGCAGCTGGTTTACGTATTACATGTTCAAAATCTTACTTCATCTCCTACTTATCAACGTAAGGGACTTCCATGCTTTTTTAACCACCTAATCAGTTCAGGGCACTGCACTTCCATAGTTTTATGTGTAAGTGATGTTATGAACAGCTGCACAACACAGTAATCTTGAGTTACCTGAACTCAGGCCCTCACCCCTAAAAAGACTTTTACTTCACCTTCTACATTTGTATTTTTTAAAAATAAATATGTATTAATTTTAGATTTTTTACAATACTTTTGATTCACCCGTCATACAAAGAATGTGAATATTTAGTTATGAAATGAAGCTAGATTAGGCAACAAACTAGGTTCACAGCAATACTGATAGCACACAAACAATTTCTATTCCAGTTACATTTTCATCTTCCTCTAACTTTTTGTCAATTTTAATAAACTGAGGAATTACCTAGTTTATTTATACTTTGACACAATAGTTCTTATGTAATATATCTATCATTTTTATGTTGCATAACTGTGTATTTAATCAGTGTACTTGGGGTGCTAACAGAGTTGGTACTTGGTCTCGTTTTAAAAATCTGTTCTGAATTAAAGGAAAAGATACCCCTCAGCACCTGACAAATTTAGAACTATTTAGTCTCTCTCGGGATGAAAAATTATTTTGCTTTGGATGTTTTCAGTGAGAGATTTTAAGTTTTAATTCGTATTTTCAGATATTCAAAAATATAAATTAATTAAGGCTCAGATCCAGGAAGGAAATTCATGCAAAGAGATCCTTGTAATTTCATCCATGTCCAGTGAAGTCAATGGGACTCCATATTATCATAAAGTATAGCCCATGTGGATCTTTTTCCAGGATCTAGCCTTAATGTTGTCCCAACTGGTCAGAGTTTTGAGTGTTTATTTGTAAAGAGTTGGAAGGGTCTGACTTCTGTCTGCATGAAAGATTATGTAATTATGTGTTTGACGTATATTAGTGGGATAGGCATTTTGGTACTTACTACAAAAATTAGCTACATTAGTGCACCTTTAATATGGGATGGGCCACTTTTTATATGTCCAAATAGAGTATTGATGCAAATCAGGTAAGAAAGCATTTAGTCATAACTGCTACAGGTGCAATCAGTTGAAGTCTTACATTTCAAATCTGCGAGTTAGTCTTCAACAATTCATGATTTTGTCCATCTTTATTTAAGACCTGCTGATATGTCCTCTGCCCAGGTATTAAATCCTGTACCTTCACAGCAACAGACTATTTACAAATAGTAAGTAGATTTATTCTCTCTGTAATTTCTGTAACCCTAGTTTTTGAAGTCTTATCCTCCACTGACGCAAGCTTTATTTTTATTCTTTATGTGTTTCAGAGATATACTTAAGATAAATTGGAACATTTTGAATGAGAGTAATCAGCCATGTAGGGTTATTTTTTATTTTAGTATAAAGGGCATGTTAGTACTTTTGCTGAATTGCCCTTCACCACCTTGTCTTTTTCAAATATTACACAGTGACATGTACAGTTCTATAAATAAATTACTATGGACCAACTGAGTCTTACACACTTGGGAAGTAAAGTCCCTTGTAAGAGATTCATTTTTAGGCAAGATTTTTTGGAATCTCTTCATCTTGTAATGGATTTTTGGTTTTGGCTGTGTTTTTCCAACAAAACATTTACAGTCTTTTTGTCTTAATCTGTCTTGTATACAAAGGATATGTTGAATACTGCTTACTTTATCTCATTTCACATCTACATTTGTAAAATCTAACTCATTTAGCAGAAGGGGATTCCTGCACTAATGTATCTATGAAACAATATCTTGCATTTGCAAGGGAAACACAATAATCAAATAGGACAGTTCTATCACTAATTCCTACGATTCTATTTAGAATTAATTACAGAATCAATTTTTAAAGTCTCATCCTCTTGCAATGAAGGACTTTTACTGTGTGCTTCAATGGGAAATTCCAAACCTCACTCTTTCAAGTTCTCATCTTGTCAACTCTGTAAGTTCCCCCCAACCCAATATAAAGAGAATATTAATTATTTGGTGTCCGTCTACAATTCAAAACTGTAGAACTGCAGAATTCAGTAATTTGGGATTCATTTTAAAAAACAAATTTTGTTTTGTGTTAGAATAGCATTTGTTATTCAGAGTTAAGAGAAGTGTTTACAGTTTTTCTTCCCGGTGGTGAAGGATTTTTGCTGTTCTCTCAGGAAGTCATTTACAAATATGACTGTCATTGTTAAATGCCATGTATGCTTACTGTGCATACATAATAACTGGCAGACCTATCAAGTCTCACTCATTTAGGGAGGGAGGTTCTTTGCATTAAGAGCCAGTTATCTCACATTTTATGTTTAATTCTGTACTTCCAGGAGAGAATGGAAGCAATCATCTCTAAATTTCCAATATCCATTATTCTATTTTGAGTTATTTTAAGAGTACTTTTCAGTGTCTCTCCATGTGATAAATTTTGGTAAACAAGCACCATAGATTTTGAATGATCTCAAGGTTCCTTTTAAAAATAAACCTTCCCCAAATCATTGGTTAGGCAAATAGTTATAGTATTAGCAAATAGCTAATCTATATGAACACGATTGTATTAGCATCAGATTATCTCAACCCCTCTCAGCTATTAGTTAACAACAAGACATAGGTGAATAAAACAGACTCCTAAAGGGAGGGCCTGCACAGCTCTTAATAAAAATTGGTTTTGTCCCCTGATTAGGTCCAGTAGGTGCTGCTGTAATACAAACAACAACCCCAACCCGTCAGGTCACATACCAAATTCTGCCACTATAAGCAGACAGTGCTGACAAAGAAGTCTTAGCTAAAAGATCAGGCAACATAATTATAACTATGGACATGTTAATACTTTATTGAAGTACTTTCTTCACCTTATCTGTAAGCAATATGTACAGTTACACTCTAAACTCCACTACAGGAACTTCAAGTCTCACATATTTGAGTAGAGACCTTCAGTAGGAATGGATTTTAAGGGCCTTGCCTCTCTACCCCTTCTGCAAAGGAGGATTTTTTTTCGGAGCGCATTTCTGTGGAAAATACACACCCCTCCACCCCATGTTCCTGGTGCTTTAAACTCTCCTTCATTCACCCGCTCGCCCCGAGGGGGAAGAGGGGATTCTGCAGCGTAACAAAGACTCTCCCATCATGTGTGCGTCGGGGGCGGGGGGATAAAATCCCCTCTACCGGGGAGGGTGTGAAAGGAGGAGGCAGCTCTGTTTCCCTGGCGTCGCAGACTGAGTGGCCATTTTAATTTAAGGGCCTAGAGATCGGCTGCTCCTCCTCCGCACGGAGCCCAGCTCCGCTCCGCCCCGCCCACCACCGGATCGGGGAGGCCCCGGCCCTGCCGCACACGGCGGAGGAATCCCAGGCCCATGGGGAGAGGCCCCCCATGGGGTGCGAGCGTGGGCGAGGGGCTCCGGCTGGGCGCACGCACGCGGGGGCCAGGCGCAGACCCACACGAGCGGGCAGAGGGAGGCGAAGGGCGGGGCGCTCGGTTACCTATACTGGGCAGCAGCCCCGCTATGGGTGAATCCAAAGTAGTTGCCGGTGGCCATTTTGGCATCTTCCCCCAGCCGGCTGGGCACTGCGGCGGCGAGGCAGCGGCGACGGTCGGGGCCATGGCGGGAGGCCCGGCGAGGGGGCGGGAGGGGAGAAAGAGAGAGAGCGAGCGAGATCAGACACGGCGCCTCAGGCAGCCCCCGCGCGCGGCCCGCAGCCGCTGTCCCCCTCCGCACAGCCCCTCCCCCGCCCCACCCGAGTGGTGTTACTCACCATAGGTGAAGGAAACTACCGGGCATATGGGAATCATGAGTCCGGGCTGGCAGCAGTGGCGGCGGCCGCTGAACTCTCAACTCTCACCCCCTCCCTCCTCACCGCCGCGCTCTCGCTCTCTCTCCCTTCCCCCCACCCACCTACGGCCTCAACAACGACGAAGTGATGTGCGAGCAGGCCTGGGTGATGCGCATGCGCCGGATGGGCAGTAGGGGCTGATGGGAGATGTAGTCCCCGTTCATCCTGCCATCGCGCGCGATGTCGTAGCTGACTCGCTGGCGTTGGGGAAGGATGCCGCAGTGAGAATGTGCATGCGCGGGATGGGCAGCGGCTGATGGGAAATGTAGTTTCTCCCCTTCCGCCACTATCCCAGAGTCAGAAGACGTAAAGAAGCCATTGACGTATTGCCTATAATCAAGCACATGCACTTTCCGCCCTTTCTTCTGGGGAAAACATGTTCATTTGTTTTGCACCGACATTATTTTATACGTCATTGCATGTATCAGTAGTTCCATTACAGCTATCTTTGTACAAGTGCACATGTATACAGTTACACATTATATACAGTATTAAAATATAGTGAGAGGAGTAGCATGTGACACAGGTAAAAAGCAACAGAGTGTCCTGTGGCACCTTATAGACTAACAGACGTATTGGAGCATAAGCATTCATGGGTGAATACCCACTTCGTCAGACGTATGGTACAGGTAGTCAGTCAGTGGTAGTCACTAGATTTTCACCCATCTTCTTTCTATACACACCCTCAGCTTTTGCAGGTCCCTCCCGCTGAACAGATTGTATTTCTGCATGTGGGAGATTAGAGCAAATGAATAGTCACACCCTGATCCTGCAGTGAGCTTCTTATGGCTGCATAGAGCACCTTTAAAATAAATGGGGTCCTGTTGGGCACATGCAGGGGTCTGCCCACAAGGCCCTGATCCTTCAAAATCTGAAATGGGTAGATCCCTTCTAATATCCATGTGGGGGCCTACTGCGTCTACCAACACAACATGGCATGAAAGTAAGAGTCCACATAGGTGGATCCCTTTGCAAAGCTGAGGCACAAAGTTCACAAACTACCCATTCCACTCACACAAATGGATGAGTAGAGGGTTCCTTTGAAAATACAGTCCTTAGTGTTGACCCAGTATGAACAGTTTAGAGACAGTGAATATGCTCACCTTTGTTAGGAAACCTATCATCCTAAGATTCCTCAAAAAACCCTAAAAGAATCTCCAAATATATGGGACCAAGTTCACCATTTGTGTAACTATAGTCAAAGTTATACTTGGTAGGCTAGATGCATTTACTTCTCACCTATTGAGTTCCATTCTGTTCCACCTTTAAGCAATCTTCATTAGGGAACTGATAGTTGCAAATCCCTTGAAATGGAATGACTACACACGAGTTAACTTTTCCCCCCTTCAGTGGGCAATATTGACCTTAAGACCCAATATCTGCAGCAGCTTCAATAAACTAACAAAGGCCTGTGATGTTGCACTCTTTTTAAATTTAATTTTAAATTAGTCATTTAAAAGAATTTCACTCCTTGAGGAAGGATTTTGCTCTGTTTCAAAGTGATTTTTTTAAAAAGCTGTTTAAGTAATTATCACAGCTTGAGAGTATCTATTATCATTAAAAAACAGTGACTCCCAAAATGTATTAGCAAACTTCTTAGTGATAATTTTTACCTTTTATTTCACTATGGACATATTTATAAAATAGGCATAACAAAAGGGAGGCATCTGCGGTTTTGATTCTCTATGCATCTGCAATAGTTTAATCACATAACTTTCCACACAATTATTAGCATACCAGTAGTACCAAATCACTCCACCTAGCTTCGTAAGCCAATGGAGTAGCTTAATAAGAGGAAATAAAGATATGTACTCCTCTTGTTATCTTTGTTCCCACTCAGGCAGAGTAAGGAAAGAAACCTGCACTGGTAAGAGAATGAACAAGGTGAACATAGGTGTTTTAGTTTACATCTCAGACTACCAAAATTACCAACCTCCTGTAACAGATAGTGTGCCATGAGTGAAAGTGCTCTCTTGGATCCTCTCTCTGTGAAGAAAGCAGCTAGTAATTAGAGTCATTTAATTGCTTTTGCTTTCATGTCAGCTAAAGATCTTATCCTGCAAGATATTCTACACAAGCTGACACCTACACAGAAAAATGCACAGAACTGGGAATTAAGTCATTAGAGCCTCAATTGGAGTCAGGACACTTAAAAAAAAAAAGTCATCTTGCTCCTAAGAAACTGTTGACTTACTTAATTTTCCATAACTGGACTTCAGGTTTACAGTGTTTGGGATTCTCTTTTTCACTTCATCCTTGAAATTTTTCCTCCTCTGACAAATGACCTCTGAGTGTTTAGTTTTGTTTTTAAATGACATTGCTAAACAAGTCATCTGCAGGAGATGTGCAGACCTTGTGATTCCACTTTATCTCCAAGATTCAACAAATATATTTGCAACATTTGTCTCTTCAGACTTTTGGAGCTAAAAATCTGGGAGGAACATTCTCTTGTCTTATCTACAGTACTGATTTCTATTTCATATTTTATACTCATTCTGCACAAGCAGCTTCTATGTAGATCACAAGGAGGTTGTTATACAAACTGAGTGCAGAATATTTAAGAGTTCAGCACTATTGAGCTGCACTCACTCCAGCTGCAGACTTGGGTTTCTCACTTTGCTGCCTGATGTAGCTACACAGAAGTTGCTTTTCCACATAGTTTAATTTTGACTGATTCTTCATACTTCTCTTGTTTTAAAGAGACAGTAGTATAATCACTTCATTTAGATATGGAACTATAACAACTTGTTGTAAGAGTATTTTTAAAATATCCCTGTGGTGGTGGGGCAAGGAACTACTTTTAGAAAATTCTCTAGAGTTTTCCTCAAAATATCAGCACTATTTGACTAAACATTGTTCCTCGGCAATTTCTAACTGATTAGAGTGCTCACAGTTCATATAGTCACCAGAAATCATTATGTGAACTATACTTCATTACTCACATGAGTAGTAGCTTGCAGGATCAAGTGCACAGGATGAGCTGCAGCATTAGGCACAATAATACCTAGAAGAAAAACATCCCACATCTTAATGATGGGAGTTGTAATCTGAAGCAAATCGGAGACACCATTACTATTGGATAAACTCTCCCCATGGCAGTTTGAGATGCAGCTGTTTCTGCATCCTTAAATGCGAGAAAAGGAAAGTGGGGGGGGGGGAGTGAAGAAGTAGATGGGAAAGGGAGTAGGCAAAGAAAAAAATTATTCAAACAGGTTAACATGTATCTGAAAATATTTCTTAAATAAGGAAATAGTCCTCTCCCATCTCTTCACCCATTGAGATACCACAAAAATAGTCAAACTATTTTAACAAGTGATAGAAAAATGTTGTTGGGGGGAAAATAATAAGCATGATACATTTTAGCCCAAAGGGTGGGGTCCCTCCTTCACCCAAACTTAGATGCACCTAAAAACAGATAGGAACACAAATGGAAAGTGAATCTTCCTCAACTTTGGGAGTAGGAGGAACAGGAGCAGCTCTCCACTTCATGGTGAAATAGAAAAAGAAGCAGTTTAGCATTTTGCCATCCATTTTGACTGTTTAATTTGAGTATAATGATGCCTAGACAGGATGCAAATATCTGCTATTGTATCACAGCATTGCATGATGTGGGTTTCCCTCCATCCCCTCTCTCCCCACAAAACTAGCCTCTTTCAAAGCTCTCAAAATCATAGACAGAGCCAGCCTTGAGTAGACCTGGAAGTTTTTGTACCAGGAGTGGAAAAGGTTTCTTTAAAAGATATTCCTGCAGGCTATTAAAAACCTTAAATTTAAAATGGCCCTTGTTTGGCCACCAGAGGGCAGGGCAGAATTTTCTACAAAAGAAGATGAATTTAAAATTTTTCACACACACGACCCAGACTAAGCCGGTCTTCACTTCCCCAAAATGTGTCTTTTTACAGAGAGTTAGTTATCTTTCTGTAAAATAACCCCCGGCCTCCACACACCCCTTTTTAAGCAGTGAAGAAAAAGCCTAAGATGAGCAGTGCTAACACTCAGACTGGTGATTAAAGAAAATGTGTTACCTCTTGGCAACAGGCCTAGGTGGTGGATGTTCCTGGCTAACACGCAAGTAAATAAAATGAATTAAACCATTCATTAAACCAAAGATAATAGGTTACCAGCATTTACAAAGCCTCAGTGCAACAAGTATCAGGGGGTAGCCGCGTTAGTCTGTATCTACAAAAACAACAGGGAGTCCGGTGGCACCTTAAAGACCAACAGATTTATTTGGGCATAAGCTTTTGTGGGTAAAAACCCCACTTCTTCAGATAGTTTATGCCCAAATAAATCTATTAGTGTTTAAGGTGCCACCCTGTTGTTTCAGTGCAAAAAGAGTCATGAAAAAAGAAAAAAAAAACCATGCAATTATCTTGAGTTTTATAAAATTCATAATAAAATTATAAAGCTAGTTAATTAGAATTCATAATGCATGTGACACACAGAGAACCAGTCATGACACACAAGTAACTGCATAGCCTAATTGTATCCTTCAGACTTTCTCCCCTCAGCCCAGTGTGTTGTCATCACACATTGCATAGGTCTAGAACCTATTTTGGGGTGTGGTGGGGTAGAAGAGTAAAATTAGAGCCTTCATTTGTAACTGACAAGTTTTTTTTCACATCCATTAAAATGTATTGAAGCTCAAAATTACTGAAAAAGACAAGTACTATAGAGATAATAATAAAAATATACCTTGTCAAATGTTAATTGTGCCATTTATAGCTTTAGGAGTCAAGAACCATGCAGTTAATTACTGCTATATGGCTAAAGCAGATTTTATTGGAAAAATGGCAGTGTCATATTTTTCCTCATTCTCATCCAACTATCTAAGCATGCTGGCTAAAATTTTTCCCTCTGAATGAAGAGCAAAGAGCACTGCAATATTATTTCCAGCTAAACTTCTATGTGAAATTAAATGAAGTTTTCATGCAATTATTGAATTAGGAGAAGGATTTACATCCTTTTAAGGAAATTCATGAAGAAGAGAGTTTGGACAGAGAATACACCCACTATGGAAGGTATTTTAAGGGTTCTGAAAGTAGAATTGAACCACCTGGGTC